GAAAACTATAATTAGATCACCCCAAAACCTTCTCTTTTCCAGGCTAAATTAGCCCAATGCAGACTTTCCTCATAGGAGAGGTGCTTCATCCCTCTGATCATGCTTGTGGCTCACGCTTGTTGCCTCCTCTGGACTCCCTCCAGCAGTTCTACATCCTTCCTGTGCTGTGACCTAGAGCTGATGCAGCCCTGCAGGTGGGGCCTCAGCAGAGCAGAGCTCGAGCAGAGCAGAGCAGAGGGGCAGAATCCCCTCCCTCCCCTGCTGCCCACACTGCTCTGGATGCAGCACAGGACACGTATGGCTCTCTGGGCTGTGACCCAGTGCTCATGGCTGGGTCATGTCCAGCCTCTCACCCACCAACATCCCCAAGTCCTTCTCCCAGGGCTGCTCTGGATCTGTTCATCCCCAGCCCGTATTGATACCAGGGATTGATACCTCAACCCAGATGCAGCACAAGCACTTGCTCTATTAAATATCATGGAGTTCCCATGGGCCACATATTCCCAGCTTGTCCGGGTCCCTCTGGACAACATGGCACCCTTCAGGTGTGTCAACAGCACCTCTCAGCTTGAGGTCATCTGCAAATCTGCTGAGGGTGCACTCGATCCATTTCTCGTCACTGATGAAGATATTAAATAACTCTGGTCCCGGTACAGACTCCTCAGGGCACAACTTGTCACGGATATCCATTGGGATTCTGAGTCTTTGGCCACAACCCTCTGGATGTAACCATTCAACCAATTTGTTATCCATCTAATAGTCCACTTCTCCAATTCATCTCTCTCCAATTTGGAGAGTAGGATATTGTGAGAGACCATGTCAAAGGATTTACAGAAGTCCAGGACATCCACACCCCTTCCCTTGTCCACCGATGCAGCCAGTCCACTACAAAAGGCCACTGGACTGGTCAAGCAGGACCTGCCCTGGGTGAAGCTGTGTTGGTCTCTCAAATCACCTCCCTGTTCTCCATATGCCTTAGCATAGCTTCTAGGAGGATTTGTTCCGTGATCTTCCCAGGCACAGAAGTAACCTTGACAGGTCAGTAGTTCCAGGGCACTCTTTCTACCCTTTTTAAAGATGGGCACAATGTTTCCCCTTTTCCAGTCACAAAGGGCTTCTCACCTGACTGCCATGACTGTTCAAATATCATGGCTTGGTAACTATATCAGCCATTTAGCTGAAGACACTGGGATGTATCCCATTAGGTCCCAAAAACTTATCTACATTAGGGGTCCTTAGGTGGTCACAAACCTATCCTCCCTTACAATGGCTCTGCTATCCCAGTCCCCATCCATCTGTCCTCTCAAGAGGTGTGTAAATAGAGAAATTAAGATTGTGAAAAGATTGTGACAAAAATGGGTTGAGTACCTCAGCTTTCTTTTCATCTGGTATTAATTTTTAGCATTGTTTATCGGGGGCTGCACACCTTGTTTGCTTTCCTTTTCTGGTTAGATCTTCTGTTCATTTAGAATAGCCTGAAGGTTTTCAGAGCTTCTTCCAGCAGCCCACAGCTCCAAAAGACAGTACACACGCCAAGACTCTCTGGATCACATCACTGCTTAGCAGAGTTCTTGTCTCCAAGACACTCCCATTTTAAGGCAAGTTGTCAAAGCCCTTCACTGTGTGCTTGCTGAGTCAACTCTTTTCCAGGATCTTTGCATCACTTAGATGATCTCAACTGATCAGACAATAATGAAGAATCTGTACTCTTTTTTTGATTTTGCTGTTTTGAAATTCATTAAAATACTACAAAGATTAGTACAAATACACTTGAGTGCTTTTCTACTTGAGTGGAAAAGTATAATATTGCTTTTTGTTCTCCAGGAGTAGCAGAATAACCTGTATGAAAATCATGACAAACCATTACGTAAAATGGACACTCTACATAAGTATTGCCATATAGTAATTTTTTCCCTTCAAAATTTTTGAATAGAAATTATTCCCAAATAACCATGTGAGTTTAAGTGCAGCCATCTATGGTGGTGTGTTAGGCACTGTGCTAAGAATCAAGTCTTTTATAAACACGGACAGTAGAACATTCTTTTGAAAAATAGCTGTGTAGTGCCAAATTATTATGGTAGAGCTTTTTCTTTCTTCTAGCCTTTTATTTGTTGTTGGTTGTTTTTTTTTCTATGTGCCATACTGAAAGCTACATATATTGGAATTGCCTGTAATCTGTAAACTGAAAAGAGAACACTTGCTGTCACTTCCTTTTTTCTAAAAGCATATACAAAATAACATGCAAATTCTTAAGGCAGCTGGTGTTAAAATGTTCTCTTCCTCATATTAGAGCCTAATGAGATGTAAAAGAACCTTTGACATTTCAAGATGCCTCTCATTTACAGAAGTTCATCTGTTTTAAGACTTCATAATCTGGGTGGGGAAGCTTGATCATATGTCTAAAACAAAGAAATCCAATTGGTAGATCAGTCCTGGATCTAATTACAGGGTGCTATCTTGGAGGTAACAGAGAAGTCAGAAACAGTGTTGTGAGGCTCTCAAAGCTGCACAGCTGATAATTATTCTTTTATTCTTAGCTTAGTGGCACCAGAGTGTTATACTTGAAAAGCTGTTAACCTCAACATTTTCCACCACATTGTATAACAACAAAAGTGTGGGCCAAATTTAGAGCTTTGGTACTGTTCAGAAAAAAGCTTTCCTACGGTTGTTCTGCCCTTCAGAACTGCAGGTGTGCTTGTTTGATGGGTACTTTGCCATCATTTAGAAAACCTTTTATTTCCATTTAAGATTGGTCTGACAGCTCTGAGTTCTAAGAATTGTCAGGAGGTGCCAAGTCCAGCAAGTCTTAAGCCTGGCATTGGCCATCAGAATTTTACTTAGCCTGAGTGGTCAGTTGGGTCTCCACAGCAGTCACAGACTCTTGAAGTGTGGCAGTCTGAAGTGGGAGATTGTGAGAAGCAACCTGAGGGTGAGGTACTTGTGAGTGATGGATTCTGCTTTCTAATGTGCTTTGAGATGTACTGGTAAGGTAAATAGTAGGTAAAGATTCCTGAATGTAAGGTGCCATTGGTAATGTATGTATTTTTGCTAAATAAATAGCAAACTGAACATTTTATTAGTTTTACCTAAATATTGTATCCCTTGAGTTTATTTTGTTGTTTTCATACTTGGGAAAAAAAGTTATCTACATACAGTCTTAAATATTAGAAGGGATGTTAAGAAGGAAGATCTTGTTAAGAAGAACATGGTTCCCAGTATCTGATTTTTCAGGAATTGCTGTTGGGCAGTCTTCAGGCTAGCAGGAAAATAAGATCATACAAATTTGTTTTACTGAGTTCAATAATTAGTGATCTGTGATGTATGTTGCATTATAGACCATCATGGATTCTCTTTCAATAGATAAACAGGCTGGAAATCCTGATTTTATTGGCCAGGGAATTCCTTTGGATGAGACAGCATTTGTAGTAAGTATGCATCTGAATGACAGAGTTTACAACTTAATAGGAAGTGTTGGTTAATGTGTTTACTGAAGTGGCAAGCATTGCAAAATTTTCATTAAATGCCAGTTAATCTTCCTGTGCTACTTTTTTTCGGATGATAGTGAATTTTATTCAAAATTGTGGGGTGTTTTTGCAATAGCCACAAGTATGTGAAGTTTAAAAGTTGTGAGGGAACTTGAAGTTTCTGTGCATGTGCTCAGAAACAGAAAAAGGTACAGGTCTATCATCCAGGATGTTGTACAGTAATGCACTGAGCTATTTGTCAGTAGTCCATGCTGGGATGTTTTATTTGAAAACGAGTTTTAGTTAATTTCTTTTCCTGATTTTTTTGCTTGTCTGACATTTTGAAAATAAGGTTAATTTGATGTGAAACAAGCTAAGAGAGATGTTTTAGATGTGAAACAAGTCAAGGGAGATGTTACAGATGTCCATAACCAGCCCATTGAAGAAACATTTCTCTGCCTTGGAGGAATGTTTGCATGTAGCTGATCTAGATATGTCTATACCAGGAGTTTCAAAATTTGATGTTTCAGATACACAGCTTGGAAGATGGGATACCTGGGCTAAAACTCACTCAGCTCTGAGTTTAATGTGGAGAAGTATTCTTGCCTTCAGATCTACATTAGAATAAAAAATAGCCAGGTCTGGTGGGTGAGGCTTGCGTTCTGTATATAGGATTATTTTTCTAAAATTATTTGCATACTGACAGATTTCCTGTTGTTAGGGAGTTATTGAAGAAGGGTATGTCTTCCTGTCTGTAACTGAAACTTCTGCAAGACAGTTAGTTCCAATTGAATATTTAGCAATTTTGGTAAAACCATGGTTTTCCATACCATTATTTGGTTCATTTCCCATTTTGTGTTCCTATGTCCAGTTCCAAAACCTTTTCATCGGTTCTTTTGTGCTTACAGCCAACACGCGATACATCAGTCTGCTCTAACACACACACTCACAGACTTTGGGTTAGAACAAATACTACTGCAGTTACTGGAGCACTCTGACAGCCGGCGCTTCGGCGGGCCGGCGTTGTTCGGAGCACTTACATGTGCTCTTACGCCTTCCCCCACGCTCCTATAAAGGTTACACCGTCAATTTCTGATGGTGCCGCGGTCGGTAGGTAAGAGAAGGACGGGCAGGACGGCTCAGCGCTCCTGCCGGCGGGGACCGGGTGGGTGCCGGTGCCCTCAGCAGCCGTGCCCCGCGCCGTGCCCGTCCTTGCCCCGCCGCGGTGCCGGGGCGCGGTGCGGAGCCGGACGCCTCCCTCGAGGGGGCGGCGCTGCGGGCAGCAGCGGCCCCGGGGCGGGCGGCGAGCCGAGGCTGGGGGCGAGCCCGCAGGACCAAAGTTTCTTGCCCGCAGCGCCCCGGTGTCCCCGCAGAGCGCGGCCCAGCGGAGGGGCAGAGCCGCTGCCCGCGCCCGCAGAATGAGGGAGCAGCGCCCGTGTCCGGGCACCGGGCAGCGGAGGATGGGCGCGCTGGCGCTCCCGGTGAGCCCTGTGAAACGCTTGCAAACTGAGCGCGCCTTTCCCTGTCTTTTCGCAGAGGAGGCCTACCAAAAACTGGCTAGCGAGACCATGGAGGAGCTGGACTGGTGTCTGGACCAGTTGGAGACCCTGCAGACCAGGCACTCCGTCAGCGAAATGGCCTCGAACAAGGTAGGAGCCCGCGGGCTCGGCCCCGCCGCCCCGCTCCCCCCTGAGCGCGGGCCGGGGGTCGCGGCAGCCGGGGCTGTGCAGGGTCAGGGGCGGCCGGAGGGGCCCGGGCGCTGGAGCGGCCCCGGGCGGAGAAACTTGACCTGGTCAAGCAGTGTCCAAACGTAATTTGGGGAGCGGGAGCTGGTTCTGTTGTGGTTTTATACACCAATTCTTTTAAATTTCAATGCAAGTTGTGAAAGTGATGCAGGTCTTGTAAAGCTACACTGTTCTCTTGCGTGCGTCAGTTTGAAAACAAAAAGAGATTGTTCAGAGCTGCTGGCAATTATCTGTTCAGTTGCTCCTTTTCACAGAACCCCATACAGAATTAGGGATCTTTCCTAGAAACGGTGTAGAAAGTAGCATGAAAGGTGATAAAGATAGTTCCTGAGCCCAGAGGATCTGTATGGTGGATTCTGCTTGTAAACAATGATGATGACAGCTCTCATAATGCTATTTGTTGTGAAAGAACATGCTCTCAACCAAAGTGCCATCACAATAGACACCTACATCTAGAGGTGTGCTTCTGCAACAGAGTGCGCACTTCCTTCTCATCCTGGAAGCTGAGGATTTGCATTAGCTGGGAACTCTGTGCCGGGATCTGCTATGGTCTGTATGTGCTTTGGTTTTGCAATTTGAAATTGAGTTTCCACATCTTTTTATTTATAAGTAAAATTTCTTTCCTGATTTTGATTTATAAGAAATATGCAGGTATATTTCTAGAGTTAGTTTTTTTTTTTTTTTTTTTAAGGTGAATTAATAAAAGTGCTGTGTTACTTCAAAATTTATTTTTGTATTTTTCATCAACTGAATACTTGAACAACATATGCAATTAGAAATTATAAGAAAGCTTTAATTAAACAGGATAGTTTTCCTACTCTTGTGTCTGCAAAGGCAGCTGATGATGTTTTAGCATCTTTTCACCATTTCAGTTGTAATTAATATTTTAAGTTGCAGGATAGTTGTTTTGACTCAGCTTATGCCTTCTTAATACTCTACTGTTTTGCTTTGACTGCTCTTACCAAGTATCTGCTCTTTGTTATTGACTGTTTTTAAGTTCCTGTTGAAGTGTGCCTGCATGTGAGATATGAAGTATCTGCACACTTGTGCAGTTGAATCCCACAGTGTAATATTCCCTTTGCTTTCTTCAGCTTTAGAGACTCTTAGCACCAATTTGATCTCTGTTTTAGGAGTTTCCTGCCTGGCATTACGCTATTCTCAGAACTGCATTTTCAGTTTTTATTGCAGCTGGAAGATGTTGTTACTCAGTATGTATTGTGTATGCATTTGTGAGCTACAAAGTCAAGAGTTTCCAAAGCTGTTTCAGCTCTGTATGACTCTGAGACTTTGTTTCCAAAGGGAGTGAGATCAGACTGATACATGCAACCTGGTCTTTTCTTGCTAACAAATTTGAACACCTGACTTGTGATGTTTGTATAACCATTCTTTCACAAAATGCTGCATTTTCTTCAAGCATTTCTTTCCTACCTCCCTATAATAGATAAGATATGCAGTGTTTTTTATTAACAGTGAAGGTAAGCTGTTTCTATAATGAGGTAAAGTTAATTGCAAATCAATGTTTTTTAGGGTTTGCCAAGTATATTTAGTATTCTTATATTCTGTAAGTAGACTCAGAGGTGCTCCTGAGTTTGATACTATATTTTGTTTGTACTTGTTTGAATAAGTAAGCATTCTCACTCTCTTTTCAGAAATCTAACTCCTTGTATATACTCATTTGTGTCATCTTTCAGCATTCATTTGGGAGGTTTTTGTTTTGGTTGGTAAGATAATTTAAAAAAATCCCAAAGAACAGACAAAAACACCAAAAAAAATCCAAAAACAACAACAAAGTGTAAATCTGTGCCACTAACCAGCACATGAACAATCTTGAATATAAACCAGCAAGCCCATACAATATTGTGAGAAAAATTAATGCAGGAGGATTTTCATTTTGGGGTACAGCTGGTTATTCTAAAGAATAATTCTTTATTACTGAAACATACCCAGCATTTATGTAATACCTCCTATTGTAATATAACTGCAAACTTTGACCTCTCAGTGAGGCATATAGATAAATTATACTATTTTACTTTATCGAGAAACAGAAGAAGAAAAGCTTTGCTCAAGGCTGAGAACATAGACTTCAGTAGAGAAGTGAACATGCAAGCATACTTTGTTCTCTATCTGAAGAGTAGGTCCTGTAAAATCAGATGAGAAAGTCAGGAAAAAGAATGTTGGTGGTACAGAAGAACATACTTTCTCACAGTGTTTCTCTCTTTCCTTTTGTCTGGCTTTCTCAAAGAACCAACTCACAAGCCTGATTGATTGTTGGTGTGGTGTTTTTACTCCCTGGAGTTTCAGCTACTTCCCTTCCTTATTTCTCTCCCCTTTATCTTGTATGCAACAGCATTTTCATCAGTATTAGTTTTCTTTATTTTTGTGAACAAATGCAAGACATAAGGGATGGTGTAAGAATTGAACTCTGGACTAGGTAAGAACTTCTGCCCATTGTGGAAAGGCTGCCATGGTAGAGGAAAAAACCAGGGTGGGAGCAGTATTTCATGTCCTGAATGCTTGGAGTAATTCAGGGAGTGAGCCTTAACTCCAGTCCCCTTCTGTGCAGTAAGTTGACAGTCTGAACTGTTGGCTTCATCTGTTTGGAATCCCTTTACTGTTGTAATGCTTGCGTAGGACTAGCTAATGCATATCCCAATCCAGGGATATTTATTTTGTTTAGATGCCCCTCATGCTCAATTAGCAGCAGTCTATGACGTGCCAGCTCACGGCTTTGGATGACAGAAAGTGGAATGACGCAGATACATAAGAAGATCCTTCTTCTCCCTACTTAAAATTGATTAAAGCAGTAGTGACAGGGTGCTATACACAACCTCTGGATGTGCCCCGGTAAGTTGTGGGACTAAGCGTTATCCAAAAACTTTGAAAGCAGGCTGTAGGTCTGTTCTGTTGGTGATGCTTTGCTGCCTACATTACATCAGTATGACTGAAATATCCAGATGATTTCCCATTTCCCAGCCATCCCCATCATACAAAGATTTCCAAATGCTTGCAGCCATTGCATGTGAAGTAACTGATGGATGGTTTTCTGGTGCACCCATGGGCATAGTTTGTAAATCAATGTGATTTTGAAAGGACATAGTATGTAGTTGTATTCTCACTTGTCATTGTGTTGTTATGAATCTTACAGCATGTGGTGTTTACTTACATTTCTAACTTCTGAAATTGGGTACTAGCAAGAGAAAAGCAGCTTTTTAAAAGTGCAGGAAATTTGTCATCTTTGTTCTCCTCTAGGAACCCTTTAAAGTTTTGAAAGGCTCCAAAGCAAACATATAAGAAGCACCTTAAATTTAGAAAATTTACTAAAATGTCTTTCATTTTTGGAGAACTGACTGGTTTTCTGTATCATGTACTGTTAATATTGCCTGATGTTAGTGGACTGTAGTATTGTTGTATTTTTCTGAGTAATAATTTCTTGAACAGATAAAATACAATTTTAGGAAATAGTTTACAAATCTGGGTAATTGGAGATATAGGCATAATTAGATGTCATTGTTTAACTGTTCAGATTTCCACATATCCCAACCCATACCACTTTTTGTTAAACTGAATTGTGAGTAGTATCTGCTGAAAAATATGTGGTTTAGGAGGCTACTAACTTGTTGCTTGTGATGCACATTTACAAGCAAATGATATTTTAAAATTTCCAAGTTGCAGAGTGATGTTTGTTTGCTTTTTTTCTTTTTAATATTTTCTTTCTTTTTTTTTTTCTTTTTTTTTTTTTTGGGTGCCTCCCTTTTTTTTTTTTTTTTTTTTTTTGGTCCTGCTAAATAAGATTAAAGCAATACTTAATAGATTTTAAATTGTCTGGGAGAAGAACTCTCTTCTTTCAGTGTGCAGTTTACCACTACCTAGTTTATGGATCTGAGAATTATTCTGTGACAGACAATACACAAATTAAAAATTCCAGTAATAAAAATGTAACAACTCCTCTATGTTAGACAGCATTATTTGCAGATTAGTCAAACACGCAGGAGTATGTATAATGAAACTTGTTTGCAAAAGTGTATTTTCACTTCTGTAATCATGATTTTGCAAGCATCTCTTGTTGGGTGCTTTATGTGCCTAAGTATCTGAACTTAGACATGGGAAAAGTTTCAAACTCAATTGTTTTTGTTTCAGCTTTAACTCTCCTGCAGATGATGTTTTTTTGCAGAATTTGCTAATAACTGGTAAAGAGCAAGAGGTTAGAAGATGTCAGTCATAGGGCACTTCCTTCCCTACAAGTGCAAGTGAATACCCTTGTCCAGGAATCTCTTCTAGGTATTACAGCTGAGAAAATTTTGATTTCATTTAGTCAGACCACATTAATTAAAAATCTACTTTTTAAGTATAGACTTTCTTATAATTGTACAGTTTCTATACCAGTATGTGCAAATGCTTACAGATTAGAAGTCTATTTACAGACAGTTACTAGTGCTATTTACTGGGTTTTTTTAAAAATTGAGATTTCTTTTGGTGATTTGAAAATATCAAAGTATCAATTTCATCAACCAGCTAGTGTCCAAAGCCGACCCTAATGTAACACAGGGCTTATATTTATGATCCTGAACTTGTCACATACTATGTACATTTAAACAATAGTCTTAATGATACTTTATCTTTAAAAAATTACTTACCTGTAAATATTTAATGTAATCCAAAATGATATTTGAAGGCAACTTGAAATCTGTTCAGTTACTTTTTTACATTTCCTCTTCTGCTACTTTGAGCTGGTTTGTAATCACATATTCTTACCGCTAAAAAGTATTTTTCCTTTCATCTTTTCAGCACTAAAAAGCTCACACAGGTAATGGGTGGCTGACTAACATAATATCTGGGGAAAGAGTGAGGCTAAATTTATTACTTAGGTCAAATAATGGACTATGTATAAACCCTAAAGTGCTTCA